TCATATATATATATATATATATTCAACATGTACAATGTGATACATATATATATACACAATGTGAAATAATAACCATAATCAACTTAACTTATACATAAGAGACCTTCTTGGGTTGTTTATTCATTGAAAATCTTAACGGGAAATCTATGTGAACTAAATGAAATTAAGAATACTGAAATTTAATGATCTACATAAAGACAAAGAAATGCCCTATTGCCTTATCAGAATTATATTCTAGAAAAACTCCATTTTGATTATTTAAAGTGCTGCTGGCTTCACTGTACACATTTTAAAAGCTGTATCTGTACAGCTTTAATTTTTCAAAGGCAGGGGGATTTTGAGAGCAGAGTAGTATGGTGTAAGCAGACCAGAGGATTCTGAGGACCCAAGTGCTTCTCTGTGGGCTAGCTTTTTAACTCACAAGAGTGAGTCAATGCTCACTCAGACCTGTATTCAGGAACACAAAAAACCCCGCCCCTGGGTATCCCCAGTGAGAATGCATGAAAATGCCTCTGCTTATTCAGTATTTACTATGGTTTCCTGGGTGTGGTCCTCTGGTGCTTTAACCTGTATTTTCTGCTTCCTGTGTCTCAATCATATTTTGATAGCTTTGATAGATCTTTTTCTAACATATTTATGTTTTTTTATAACATTAAATTTTTTTTTTTTTTTTTTGGTCTTTTTGAGACAGCGGCTTCCTGTAGCCCTAGCTGACCTGGATTCGCTATGGAGACCAGGCTAGCCTTGAACTCACAGAGATCTGCCTGCCTCTGCCTCCCGAGTGCTGGGGTTAAAGGCGTGCGCCACCACGCCCAGCATGACATTAAATTTTTAAAAACATTTTATATATTACTTTTACATTTTTAATTTATTTTTATTTTATGTGTATGAGTATTGCCTGTATGTGTGTAAGTGCACCCCTGTTGTTCAATGCCTGCAGCAGTCAGAAGGCGGCACTGGATTCCTCTGGAACTGGATGGTTGTTAGCTACCATGTGGGTGTTGGGAATCAAACCCAGGTCCTCTGCATGAGCAGTCAGTGCTCTTAACCACTTAGCCATCTCTCCAGCCCTACTTTTACTTTTTATGTGTGTGAATGTATTGCCTGCATGTATGTAAATGCACCTATGTTGTACAATGCCCATGAAGGTCAGAAGACGGCATCATATTCCCCCCAGAACTAGAGTTACAGATGGTTGTTAGCTGCCATGTGGGTGCTGGGAATTGAACTCAAGTTCTCTGCAAGAGTAGCCAGTGCCTTTAACAACCACTAAGCCATCTTTCCAACCCCAGCATTAAATAAATATTTTTAAATATATATTTATATACAAAGTATCAACCAACATAGTCTCCTCTCTTCTCTCCTCTCCCCCTCTCCTCCCCTCCTCTCTTTCTCTCTCTCTCTCTCTCTCTCTCTCTCTCTCTCTCTCTCTGACTTTTTTGAAACAGGGTCTTCCTGTGAATCCAGCTGGCCTGGAACTTGCTATGGATACCAGAGATCAGCCTGCCTGTGCCTCCCATGTCCTTGGCATCCCCAGCTTCAACAGTTTATTAGACAATTTGTTCAGATAGGCAAATAAAACATGGTAAAGTTAAATAAATATACTAAGCATTGTATTAAAATTTATTCAATAATAGTGTAGAAACAGCATAAAAGCTGTTTTCAATTTCACCCTCCATGAGCTGAGATTTGCAGTTTTATTAAACTTAAGGCAGGTGGTGATTTAATATCTGCACTTCCAACAAACTAGAATTTTTCACTGATACTGTTAACACCTTATCAAAACTATCTTTTAATGTCAAATTTTCCTAACAGAAATCACAAAGATGGTAGGTATACTCTGTTCTCATGCATCAAAATTTTACTAAGGTATTAGTTCTCAAATATCAATAGTTGCAAAGTTTGTTTTTAACAATTCAGAAACCCAGCTTGAATATAAATTATTACAACTCAGGGTCCAGGACAGAAAATCAGTCTCCTAACATAATCAATTTATGAAAAAAAAAAACAAAAAATCCAGTACAAACTCAAATTACACCCATCAGAATCAACAATATAACCTTGTAAACTATAGACATTCACTTCTTATATTTGATTCTATGATCTTCTAAGTAATGCTGCTGAAGTCTTTTCTGAGCCATTCATTAACATAAGAAGTCTGATTTAGGTCTGGATTTCATGGGTCACAAAATCATTTCTATGGGTCAACATTAACATTTGAAACAAAAAGAAAATAGGATAAAAAATATTGTTTCTGAACTTGATTTCTATAAATGTAGAGTACAAAGACACACAGCCCACTGTGTCATAATATAAAATGTGTGCTGAGGTGAAAGATTTGTAAGTCACTGATCTAGAGCAATCCTCTTGGTTTGCCAATCTGGATTAGCCCAGGACTAAAAATCTAAGGTCTGGTTCTGAAAGCCATTCTGTTATACTGCTGAAAAATTTCTAAAGTTGTGTAGTTTGGGCTCATTAATAAAAGGAAAATAAATTTCATTTCTCATTTTTAAATAGCCTTTTCAAATGGTACTATTTCCATGATAAGTGACCTATTCCAAAAAATAATTATTTCTAAAACCATAACCAGATTTTATGAAAAATATTCTATATTGTTTGACATTTGTAAATTTCAGTATTTTGAGCCATGCCAGGCATGGTGTCGCACACCTTTGCGAGGCAGAGACAGGCAGATATCTGTGAGTCTGAGGCCAGGCTGGTCTACAAAGTAAGTTGCAGATCAGCCAGGACTACATATTGAGACCCTGTTTCAAATAAAACAAAACAAAATTTCATTATTTTGAAAATTTTAAATCTGAAAGAGAAACTGTGGCTAAGTTTTGATAAAACAGATTGAAAGAGAAAAAAATTCTTCAGTGATGGGATGCTCATTCTCTGAACATAAACATACATAAATGTTTAGTTCACAAGCAATGTCTAAAATTTTTATATAAATGCCTATCTTATTCACCCTTAAATATATTCCGTATTTTAATTACTTTATTTTATTGCATTACTATATTCTTTCATGCTCAGACATCACATAGGGAATAGAAATTTAAAAGCTCAGTTAAAAGAAAGAAGCTAATAATCTTTAGAAAATAAATGAACGCACAAAAATGCCTTTGGTTTTAAGATCATGCTGCACAGTATTTGAGATCATTTAAGCTCACCTACATCTTATAATTAGTCATTCAAGAACTGCAATCTACAGCACTTCTATAACTTCACAAAAAAAGAACAAACTTGTGACCAAAAAACAGTTCCTTAAAGATCTTAAAAATAATTTAATGCAAGTTGTACTTGCTTAAGACAACAGAATGTTTTAATCCAGGAAGAGGGTCGGAACCCAAGGACTCTAAAGAGCTAAACTGTGGCGAAGCCCTATAATCATCCATTCATTTGTAATGCAACTGCAAATTCAGAACTTTATTACAAATAAGACCAACTGAATAAACAATTTTGCAACAATACAAAGGTCACTGGTAACTAGGTCTTTCAGAATCACTTATCTATAAGAAAAGCAAACCATAATTAATTACTAATTACAAAACTTTTAAGTACCAGAGACTGGGGAAACAATGAAAAGACAAGCACTTCCCTGACTGGGCACTAGAGGGCGCCCTAACCCCCAAGTTCCTATAGATCCCAAAAG